GGCCGTCAATCGACAAGAGTGCCCTACTTTCTTACCGGTTATCAAAAAATAAGTAAAGATTTTCTAAATGCAAGTACTAGATAGAGACGCCAAATGCACAAACGGCGAAAATTAATATTTTAACGTTTTTTAATATTTATATGACGAGGACAAAAAAGAAAAGAGAAAAGTATAACAGGATAAGAGAGATTTAATACTTTACTGGGTACTTCTTTTGTTTGAATACCTTCTCCAACTCCAAAGAAACTATCGATCACCTACTCCTGTTCTTCGCTGTTTTGTTTGAACCTTTCTGTGCTACTTTAAGAAGGTTCTGACTATTTCCCTACTTTTTTTTCACTACTGCAGAGGTGCAAATTTCCCCATAACATCTCTACAAGGTTGAAGTATGGGCGCTGCCGCGGCCACTGAAAGTTCCACCTTTGTCGCCCTTTATCCATCTGGCTGTAAAAGTAGCGATGCGATTCTGGTCATTGTTCTGTCGCTGAATCTAATTTTTAGTCCTTCCTGCCTCTTGCAGTTGCATAAGACCTCTTGAAGTACTGGCAAACTTGCACGGATTGCTGATCCCTGCATCCGCTAAATTGACTCTGGCGTCTTGGCAACTTGTTGTTCCGAAAACATGCTGACGCACTTCTGTAATTTACGGCCTCTTGAGTGTAAGTAGAACTGAACTCCTTACTCATTCTCCACCAAAGGGATTTCTTCCTGCCGTCTTCTGAAATCAACTCTAGAGTCATCAGAAGAGGTCACGCGATGTCAGTTAGCATCTGTCCGCTTGAAATGACCTTTATCGAACCGCAACTCAAATTTGCGGTTCTTAATTGGGACGAACTGTTTCATCACTTTAGCGCATCCACAACGACAAAATTCGTCTACGTGCATCCCCAACATTGATGCTATCCAGTTCCGTCTGTATACCCACAGCAGCCAGCCGCCTGTTGGCTTCTGACAGCGACTTGATACCGATTCATTTGAAAAGCCTTTTTATTCTCACCACTGCATTTTTGAACCGTTTCAAATTCAAACAGTTGCTCTAACGAAAGCACTTAAACGAAGAGACTTTCACCTACAAAATTACTTCGCAATCACGGGAAAACTTCAACTCCTAATTTCAAAGTTATTCATAATTAATCGCGGATCAGCAATCGTGTCATATATTTTTCTGTGTGAATGATTTTTCCTAATTCATAATTCTCACACAGCTGCAAGAAACTCAGTAGAAGACTGTCAAGTTTGCGCACTATAGTTTCCAGTAACACTGGTAAACTGTAACTTTCTTGTTTAACGAAAAAAAAGTTACAGTTAATTACCTTCACTACTCCTTCCATGCAAGTCACCGGTGCTAATACCATGGCCGCCGCTGTAAATAGCTACAAGTTTGGCAAGCTGCCAAATCACTAGCATTTCTACAAAGAAAAAATATCCGGTTGGCAAAGTGCCACTAAATAAAACACATTTCTTTGATAAACAAATCAAAATCTCGTTGTAAGACCTAAAATCTGTCTGTTTTTTGCCCACTATGTGTATAATTAAGTTGCTAGTATATTTCGGATTTAGCATCACGTCCGCTGTTGCGAATTTAGTGTGTTCCTCCCAAGCTTCCACAAAGAGTTGACAAAAGAAATATCGGTAGCAGTGATGCAGGAATTTTTTACTGACTAATCTTCTTGTGGTCTACGGTTGTTTGCACTCGGTAGTTGGATTGCCAACATAAACAGATGATAGATTTCGTTGTAGGCTTGTGCATCAGCGTTACACATATTTGTCAGTCTCAATTTCGAGACAGTTTTTATTCTGTAAGGTTTTTTCTTCCCTTGTTGTTTCCCAAGGGGTGTCAGAAGACTGATCAACGGACGTTCAATTACTTATGATGTTGGCAATGCTATTCGAACATACTAATACCAACTTCATGCTCCAGTGATTCTCTTCTCGTTTAATGTCTTCGTAGTACTTTTTTTTGGGCAAGTGAATCCTGCTACTTCGTCATTTCCGACATTTAACTTAAAGTCCTTACAAAGAAAGCTGTAGGACGGGTAAAAGAAAGGGTGAAGTTGAACCAAGCGCAAAGGTCACATTTATGAAGGCATCATAAGTATGGAACAAGGAGGGCTTGTCTCCAGGTATAAAAGTTACTCTCTAGAAGGCGTTCTGACGCACTTTGGGAGACTTGCAGTTGTATCGTGATGTAAACTAATAAAGCTGAAATGATGAAGTAAGAATAACATTATAGCGGTTTAGGTTCCTCTCAATTCGAAAAAAAGAAAGCAATGAATGTAACAGGTAATAACTGGAGAATAAGAAGAAACAAAAAAGCGCCACACTCATTTTTACATTTTTTTTTAAATTTAAATAATTGTTGTCTTTCAAATAATTATTTGATAATGAATTTTAGCACCCATCTCAGTATCTTCCGAGTATTTTGTTTCCTCTCATTTTTAATTCTCCGTTTTCTTTGTAACTTATTCTTCTGTGCAGGCAAACAAAGAGGCTTGTCATTTGCATGCTGCTTCACCCAGTACTATTAACTGAACAGTACGAAAAAGGTCTGAGGTAAAGGTTTTAACATTAATATAATCGTATTAGCGAGGAACTGTGCTGAACGCCGTGTGGATTAGAACGGTTTTGACAAATAATAATGTTTTTAAGGAAATGATGAGTACTTCGTTTTTAAGGCGGTAGAGATAAAACTGATCGCGGCTGAAAGGATTTTAAAAGCGCCTTGAACGTCAGGACATTAATATTTTTAAACTTTTTTATATAATCAAGAACGAAAACCTTTCCAAAGTTAATGGTTTTCTGGTTGCATTACTGTAGCATTCACGAAGAAAATTCATAATCGTTGACGAGTTACACTTGCAAATTGCAAATGCCCATGAGTCTCAAGTTGTCAAAAACTCACGACTTTATTGTCAAATAAGTGCTCAAGAAAAAAGGTAGGTCTCTTTTAGTAACTCTGTTAACTTTTCAAAGATAACAAAATACTACACAACGTAACGTACATGTAGCATAGTCAGTTGTGCGGTTTAAAAACGGCCTGCGTTATGAAAAAGAAAGGAGAACGTGGAGTATCCTGGCGAATACAGCGGATTACCATACGTGAAATAGCAAAAATTCGTCTTAATGGGTTTTTGCCAACGCCGAGCCTCGGATGTTGGAAGATTGCCAAGTGAGAGTTGCCTTCGACACACGAATTTGCCAAGACTTGAAAAGCCAACTGAGTGCTGTGCGAATTAATCGTACACTACTATTCCGGAGACGGAATCAATCGACTGTGGATGTCGAAAGGGACTTTGGCATTGCGTCAACACTGGTGCTGGGCTTGTGGTGAGGAAATGAAGTTGGCTTTGTGCCAATACAGTATGTACGTTTGAAGCTTTCTGGTTGGGATGACGATCGAATGAGAGGCCTACATCATTTCTGGGCTTTATTCTCGCAAATTAGTCGCATGAAGTGTGTCCGCTGCCCGGCGGAAATTGAATTTTACTGTAGGGTACTCTTCTTGGCAATCATATTATTCAGCAGACTGTAACAGCCGGTATGGGTGTTTGCGTATATTTTTTCTAAGACGTAATTATTCTGTGATGTTGGTTGTCGCCGTGTTGTTGACGGCGGTGGCTATGATGGCGACGGCAACAGTGATGGTGGTAGTGATTACGACGATGGTGATGATTATGTTGTTTAGCGTTTTACTAGAATTATTGAAGTTGTTCTGGTACAGAATCGAGTTTTATAAAGTTTACTTCTAATTTTGTTGACGACACTAGATGTACACGAGTTGGTTTTTTGCAACAATTTCTTGTTAAACGAAACGATCAACAGTGAGAAACGAAGGTACATTTTAAACAGTGTGTAGAATCAATGTAATTTTAAGGTGCAATGTTATTGGTGTTGTTTATAGTCCGTATCGCTGACCAAATTAAGATTCGCTGGTGTTCCGAGAAAACAGTGGAGGAGAAAAAATTGCTGGAATGGAGAGGGAGTTTGCATAGAAACAACTGAATGCTATTTTTGAGTAGTTTGC